ATTTTGAGTGCCCCCTCCCAAGAATCCAGCGGGCGAGCACAGAAAAGTCGAATACCTCTTTCGAAAATCAGACCCCCACGTTGGGAATTCTCCACGCTTCGCGTATGTCCACCAGCCCATCCAGAAACGATGCCCATGAGAGCTGACGGGGTGCCCCCTCCCAGAAAACAGGTCGCACTTCTGCAATTTCATCTATACCGTCGCCACATTTTTGATCAAATTGCATTGATTCCGTTTGTGAGTTGCTGTGCCCGAGCTTCTCTTGCGGGCTCCACGGTTGACTTCTGTGCCAGGCCCATGCCGTCGGTTGAGGATAACCTCAAACTTGTGGATGGCGAGGTGACGCAGGCGCTCGCGGCCATGGGCTCCCAGAACGTGCAGGTGGGCCAGCTCGGTTCCAAGTGCGAGAACTTGCTCAAGGTTCTGAAAGCGCACGACCTGTGTTACGACCGCATCATCCCTAACGACGAGGTTCGGCCCCACATGTCCAATCGCGACGGGGACGGCCTGGACCCGTACGACGTGCATTGCCTGGTGAATAGGGTGTTGCAGCAAGGATGGATCGGCGAGAAGACGATCGGCTCGGTGTGCTTCGAAGTGGACCCTCGGTCCGATGAGCCCTTCACCTGGAATCACAAGCTGGCGGCCAGCAGCGACGGCATGTTGAGCCCAGTTCGGAAGGAGAACCTTCATTTCCTCAGCGTGGCTGGCAGCCACACGGTTGCAGGACTGAACGCGGTTTCCCATGCTTGTTCAACTTTCTTGGACGACTTCGCTACGGACGGGCATTTGTCACTCGACAAAGTGAGGGCGGTCAACTCGGACTATGCAGATGCAGTGGCGCACGGATTCAGGTGGCGAGTTATTCGGTGGCAAGTCGACGTAAAGTTCCCAGGATTGGCAGCGTACATCCAGGAAGCTTTGAACACAGGCGCCGATACCGAACGCGTCGCTACAAATATTCAGGTTCTTCTCGAGCTCCACCGCAAAGGAAAGGCCAGCGTAGATCAGCACGGAGATTTTCGATGGCAATCGATTGCGGCAAGCATCGAACTTGCGAGGCCGTACCTTAAGGGCCAGGTGATGGACATGACGGCGTTCGTCGAGCGCTGGAGCGGCGGGGACACGGGCAAGTTCTTGGCCTCCCTCTCGGAGTGGGCGAAGACGCTTCGCCATCGCGCGGAGATCCCTGGGACCATGTTCAAGATGCTGAGCAACGTGGACCTTGACAGCATGCCTGAGGTGGTGTACGCCATGGTGAAGGCAGCCATGCGCTCCCCGCCCAAGCACTGCCACACGGGGACCACGACGAGCAAGCTCCTGAACAGCTCGGACATCGCGACGTTGCTAAAGGAGAAGCGCAAGGAGCTGATGGAGCTGGCGTGCAAGGTGAGGGTATCAAGCGACTGGTACGAGAATGACCTTTTGAAGGCTGGCGTGAACCTGAGTAGGTCTACCTTCACCAGGCTCCAGGGGGACATGGAGGTCGACGCGATCATGTACTTGCTGACGAAGGCCGCCCCCAACAAGCCTGCGCACACCGACACCTGCTTGGACCAGATTGCGGCCGAGTTCTTGGACAGTGTGTACCTGGCGGCGCCAGAGGCCAAGGGGGTCACGCCACCTTGGACCCAGCCCGAGAAGAAGTCGCCCAAGTCTGGTCAGAAGAAGAGCCAGAGTGGCTTTCGGGAGCTAGCAGCAGGTGGCCTCAACATGGATGTCGTCAAAGGGCTGGGCTACAAGACGGGCGTGAAGGTTGAGCTCAAGACGGTGCCCGACGACCAGAAGGGCAAGAACGGGCCGAGCCAGTGGAAGGTCGGCGAGATGGGCGACTCGGCCGCCGATAAGGTGAAGCTCAGGCTGATCAAGGACGGCATCGTCAGCGAGGCCGCCAGGGGCGCCGTGGAGGTCGAGGTCGCGCAGTTGGTCGACTTGTACAAGGTTGCGCTGGGTAAGCAAAACGCGACGAGGATGAGGATGACCGCAATGAGGGGCAATGCGGGGCTTGCGATGATGACGATGGCGACGATAATGCAGCTGAGGATTGACGATGGCGACGGCGACGATGACGACGACGGTCATACCTGCTCATCTTATTATTGACTGTTAGGATTGTAGCGCGCGCGGTCGGGGGCACGACGACGCGGGGGAGCATGAGGAGTTTCGCCTGAGAGATCCTCGCAACGCGCGAGATGACGTGGGCATTTCGCGTAGAGACATCCTCGCAACATGTTGTTGAATCAGGGTGCGTGTTCGAGCACCCGAGGCAGATCGCATGAGGCCGAGAGACTTAGGGGCTCGCACCCCCCCCTCCCCCTCCCCCTCGCACCATCCATCCTTTATCTGACCCCAGGTGGTGACCGAGGCGGAGACCGAGCGGCTCGACATCACGGGGGCTGCCTTGACGGACTCCCGCGGGAGGGGGTGGGAGGTAGTGGAGAGGAGGGGGAGTGGGGGCTGGGTGTCAGGAGGGGGGGGAGGGGATAGGGGATGAGAGGGGTGATGATGAGGACGAGGATGAGAAGGAGGATGATGAGGATGTGGGTGATGATGAGGAGGATGAAAAGGATGAGGATGATGATGATGAGGGGGAGGAAGATGAGGAAGATGCTGAGATGGATGATGATGAGGAGAGGAAGAAGAGGATGGGGGATGAGGAAGGATAACGGAGGGGTAAGAGGAAGCGGAGGAGGAGGATGGGAGGGGAGAAGGACGAGGATGATGACGAGAAGGAGGAGGGCGAGGAAGGCGGAGAGGGAGGAGGGGCAGACGTGGCATGAGGGAGGGTGGGCGAGGACGGGGGCGGGCGTGTGGGTGCGGGGCGATGATGCGGAGGGGGGCGTTGAGGGATGATCATGATGTGCATGGTGACGAGGGCGAGGCGATGGATGCAGAGTGGGGCGATGATGGTGAGGATTGCAATGAGGAGGGTAATGAGGATGAGGTGAGGGGGAAGATAGCGGTGGGCGGGAAGGGCGAGGAGGATGGGGGGTATAGCAAGGAGAGGGAGGACGAGGGCAATCAGCACCCCGCCCGCGCACCTGGCGGGGAGGGGGATGCGGCGAGGAGGTCCCCCCACACGAGGGTCCTGGCGAAATCGCGGGACCCGATCTGCTCGACATACTCAATGCCGTTCGAAATGCAGGGTACGAGGACAACGGCTGTGTTAATCGATTCGCCACGTGGGGAGGGGCGACGAGGGGGGGCGGTCACGAAACCAAAACGCGCGTGGTTTGATTTAGATTTGTTGGCGTGCCCCGCCCACCATCAGGATGGGGCTGAGGAGGTGGAGGGGGAGGAGGAGGAGGAGGAGGAGGGGGAGTCCTTTGTGAAAAGCCGGCTTTTTGCCTGCCGCTCCCCTGGTAAGATATCCAGACTTCTTACTGCCACCCACCCGCCCCCGAGGAGACGTTGGAAGCCTCCGTGCTGCGGGCGTCCCTGCTCGCGAAGGAGGCCGTGCATATTGGCTATGGGAGCAACGCCCAGGGCGTCGACGTGGGCATCCTGTTTAGCCGTGGCCCTGGGGCTAAGGTTGATGTCAAAAAGATGGTGTCCAACAAAAAATATGAGAAGGGGTCCCTCGTCCTCGTTGCGGTCTCTAACGTGTGCAACGTTGTGCAGTCGACGAAAGTCCCGTCTGGTGCGGTGGCACTGCCAAAGTTCGACGGCCTCCCAGTGAACCACGTGGCGTACGTGGCCCCCACGCAGATCTGGCCCACGAAGGGCCCCGCGGGCAAGAGAAAAGCGTTCCTGGCTCCGTTTTGGGAGGTCCCCTTTACTGAGAAGAAAGCAGATGTCAACATGACTGACGGGATGGTCAAAGTGGAGTTGCATCGTGAGTGCACGCCTGGTTCGAACGACGGCGGCACAAAGGTTACTGTTTCGGTGCCGTGCTTGATTAATTCGAAGGTGGTGGCTAAAGACACTGCTTTGCTTCGCCTGAAGCCAGACCAGGCGAAGAGGGCCGCAGACGACGAGCCCTCGGGGAGCCCCGCCGCTCCCGCCCCCAAGAGGAAGAGGTGATTCCAGGATATGGGCCGCCACCTTCAGGCGCGTAGTGGTTAAGTTGCAAAGGCCTCCAGGGGCCGAGTGCCAACGTTCGATCGCGCCCATCTCCTGGTTGACACCCAGCCGAGCTCGAGCCGTGCCCGTCGGTTTCGGCGGCGCATCGCCCCTCGCGAGTCTCGTGCGAGGCGGTCTTGCACAGCGTGCGTTTAAGATGGCTCGACGTTTGCAGCGTTGGGGTGTGCGAGCGGGGAGGGCAGTGTTTTGCTCAGAACCGCACGTCGGCCATTCGTGAGATAGTATACCGCCCCGCTAGCTAGGAGATGCGAGAAATGAGAAGTTGATGAGGAGAGGGCGGATGAGGATGCCGCGGGGGAGGAGGATAAGGGGGAGGAGGAGGGGAGGACATGCAACGAAACCAAGGTTTGTAACGAGGCCGCCTCCAATGTTGCCTCGCGCCTACCGCCGCAAGCGTGGTGGCGGATACAGTAAACAATGCTCGCAATTCCTCCTCATCGTCGCCTTCCCCCTCGTCTTCCCCCCCCTATCGGCTTGCCTCTGGTCGCCACCGTCCTCCTCCGTGACCCGCTTGGCGGAGGAAGCCCCGTGCCCTGCCGAGGGTGCCTGGTCAGCCCTCCTCCTCCTCGTCCTTGTCCTCCCCACCCTCCTCTCCCCATCCTCTCTTCCCCCGAACTGGCGTTCAGGATATCTGGGGATGGGGGCTCGGGGCTCAGGGCCACCTGGTCCGCGCCCATTGGTTTTGGCGCCTGCCATTGCTCGACGCAGCTACGGAAAACCGCGCGAGATGCATCGGGCCCAGACGGCCCGCGACCATCGGCACAGGAGACCCATCGTACGGTCGCCCGTCCCCAGTTTCGGTTCGCGTTGATCTTGGGTGCAGCCGTTTTTGGCTCAGGCCGTCTTTGGCAAATTCGCACCCGCCTAGTGCAAGGGACTTACTCTCTCAGATCTTTCCCCTCTGCCGCAGGATCGAGATGCCTATTTCGATCAAGGACGGCTTCGTTGCGATCGCCGCCGACGAAAATACACCTCGGGCGAAGACTTGGTTTGCCAAGAAGGTGTCCGCTGACAACAGGACGTGGGTTCTCTGCGATCGGCTCGACTCTGGGTTTCGCCACTTCTGTTCTAATGGCTTCGACATGCTCGACGAGATGCATCGGAAGCGCTCTGAGAAGTGCGACCCCCTCATCGCTGCTGTTCAGGAGCCAGCGGAAGATGCTGAAGCCGCCCCCCCAGCTGCCAAGGTTGCCAAGAAGGATGCCTTGGACATGATCGCGGGCGCTCCGAATTATTATTATTTGTTTGTTTGCTGCGAGTGCCGTTGCTGATCCCATTGCCCCGCCCGATGCCCCCTCACCTTTCCCCCCATTCATCCTGTCGCCCTGCACGCCCCTCCTCCCACCACGCCCGCCCCCGCCCCCGCCCCCCTTCCTCCTCCCCTCACCCTCCTCCCCTTCGCGATCCCCCCCCCCCCCCCCGCCCCCCCGCATTACGCCCGCAGGCTACGTCTCCATCACCGTGACAGACGAGTGGGGGTTGGACTACACGATGAACGTCAGGTCGGCGGCAATGCGCCGCTCGCACTTGCATATCGAGTTGCCCCCCGAGAACTTGGCTGCCTTGACGATGAAGCCTCAGGATGTCCAGGGCCCGAGCGAATGGGAGCCCACGCTCGCTGACGGCCTTGTGACGTGGCTCGGCTACCGCCACGCGCTCTCGGTTCCCTACTTCGATGCTGACAAAGCCAAATGGCTTAACAAATCGATGAAGGTACCTACCTTGGCCGACGAGGCGGCGATGCAGTCCGCGGCAGAGAAAGTGGCTGCCGCGCTGCTCGAGTGGAGGCATCAGCACCGCACTGAGCCTCCCAAGGAGTAGAGCGAGCGCGTGGGCTGGCCCGTGCATGTAAGATACCGCGGGCGTCGGTGGGCGCGACCGCGCTGATCCAACCCAGGTCGTTTGCCACCGCTTCGTTGTGGTAATTAGCTCAAGCGTGCGTGCCCCAGTAGAGTAGCACGATGGACGGGGGTTGCCTAGGTTGCTCAGACGGGGAGGGGCTGTGCACAAAAGAACGAGCTGCCCGCCTTTCCATTTAAGGTGGTCCAGTTTTCCTCCTCACCACCCTCCTCGTCACCCGATGCCCCGTCTATCCTCATCCGCCTCCCCCTTCCTCCTCTTCCGCCTCCTCCTCCGCATCCTCCTCTTCAGCTTCATCATCCGCCTCTTCCCTTGGCTTGGCCCCTTCTCATGGGTGTAGGGCGAGGCACCCCCGCCCATCTACCCCTTGGCGGCCCCCCACTTGCACTCACCCTCCCTCCCTCCCCCCCGTCCGCACTCGCACCCATCTTGAGTCAGGCGCGAGGCGATGAGCGCCCGTTCGCGCGCGACCCCGATCCCGCCTTCTCCCCTCTGGCACAAAGGAATGAGCGAGAGCGTGGTCGGGGCAGGTGCCCCCGCTGAGCTGTTGCCCCAAGGTCAAGCCTCTGCAATATATGTGGTGCAATCTATGTGGTCCTGTATATGTGGTGCACTCTATGTGGTGCAATCTATATGGTGCAAGCTATGCGGTGCAATCTATGTGGTGCGACATATGTAGTGCAGTCTATGTGGTGCAATATATGCGGTGCAAGCTATGTGGTGCAAGCTATGTGGTGCAATCAATGTGGTGCATTGTATGTGGTGCAATATATGCGGTGCAAGCTATGTGGTGCAATCTATGGGGCGCGGTCTACGTGGTGCAAGCTATGTGGTGCAAGCTATGTGGTGTCAGCTATCTGGTGCAACCTATGTGGTGGGCAAAGCAACCGCCCCGCAATATGCTGTATGTCGGGAGGATATCCACCGCAGACTGGATACACAGGGGGTGCGAGATGGTCGAACATCGGCATAGTTGCAACGGGGCGAGACCCCCCTTCCACAATCCTTCCTCCCTCCTCCTCCGTAGCCAGTTAGGCTCAAGGCTCAAGCCAGTGCTCGTCCATACGCAGTACCATACGTGTGTTTCGCGAGGCTGCGCCATGCCGCCGAAGAAGTCGGGCCGCGAGCTGCAGCTCAAATTCCAGCTCGAGAAGGTCAAGTCGAAGTTGCATCGGCAGTCCGATCTTCTCAGCGAGCGCGGCCGCGTCAGCAAGTCGATCACCAAGAAGGCCGAGGGCATCACTAGGTGCACGGACTACCTCGGGCAGCACCAGCTGAACATCACGGAGGCTCATCAGCACAAGGTCATTGGCGCCGTCGGCAAGGCGTCCAAGGCCATCGCCGACATCGCCAAGAGGAGCGAGGAGGATATGAACGCGAAGTACGGCATCGAGGCGTTCAGGGCCGCCCTGGATGAGGACAGGCGGGCGGCAGAGGCGGCCCACGCGGAGGCGGCGTACCAGGCCTCGGCGAGGGCAGCGGCGGCACAGGGCAATGCTGCGCCCATCAGGAGGAGGCCCGCTGGGGTCACGGACGCTCCGATCCCAGTACCTTTCGTGCCGACCTCGCTCAGGTCGCGCTGAGAGGTCGGCCCGTGCCGCGCGAGCGCAGCAGCTCGCGGAAGTTCTCAGATGCGCTGGCTCAGATTCGCCTGCGCCGTAAGTGCGTTGTGCGAGGCCGTGCCGAGCGAGTTGCTCGGAGCATTGCCCATGCTAGCTCGGAGAGCATCTGACACAGTCGCTGGTGGTGCGACCCATGTGCGTAGCAGCGCTATGGCTAAATCACTCCTCCGTGTCCTCCTGCTCCTGCTCCTGCTCTTCCTCCTCGTCCTCATCCTCCCCATCCTCCTTCTGAGCCCTCGGCCTCCCCCGCCGCCCCCCCCTGGACCACCTCCCATCACCATCCCCCTGCTCCTGCTACTGCGTCTGATCCCGCTCCGCCGCCGCCGCCGTCGTCGTTCGTCGTCGTCGTCGTTCGTCGTCGTCGTCGTCGTCGATTGGGCGCGCCGGAGTCGGCTCGAGGATATGCCCTTGGCTCACGGCCCGATCGCGGCCGCGAGCAGCCCTCCCAGCACGATGCCAGCCCTGATCCCTGGAGCCTGCGGGGTGTTGGCTCGGAGAGGCGCCCTTGTCTGGCGGGCCCGTCCAGGGCCAGTGATGCTCATCCCAGTTAGGTGCACCCATCCGAGGGGCTCGTGCGACGTGTGACTGACCCCTCAGTCACACATCGTCGATCGTGCGAGTCGTATGTAGATCACCTCTCCTCAGCCCGAGTGAGCTACGCGGAGGAGCTGTAGGGTGTAAGATCTGGCGTAGCTCACTCACCAGCGCGAGTGAACCACATGTAGCTCACTCGCGCTGGCAAGTGAGCTACATGTAGCTCACTCGCCAGCGCGAGTGAGCTACTCTATTGATAAGGGTGTGCCGTAGTTCACTTGGGCCTGCGAGTGAACCACATGTAGCTCACTTGGGTCGGCGATCGAACCACATGTAGCTCACTCGGGCTGGTGAGTGAGCTACGCAGGGAGGGGCAGTAGTGTCGGCGACGACGGCGGCGACGAAGCAGCGATCACCGCGCCCGCTGCTCTCTTGCCGCATGCGCCCGCTCTCTCGCCGCTACCCCGCCGCTCCCTCGCCGCTCGGGGTGCTCACCAACTTCACCGCAGGCCGGCCCTCGCGAGCCGCGCTCCGCCCGTTGCGAGAGAGAGTTGCTGAGGCAGCGAGGAGGAGGAGGAGGAGGAGGAGGAGGAGGAGTCTAGGGGTCAGAGACTGAACAGCCGTGGAGACCTGGTCAAGCCGAGGGGGAGGAGGCGGAGGAGAAATGATAAGGAGGAGGAGGATGAGGAGGATTGTGATAAGGGGGGTGTGGGGATGATGGCAATAATGAGGAGAGGGAGGACGAGGGGCCCATCGTAGGATGAGGGCCCCATCGCACTGGGGGGGGCCGTCTTGCGGCGTGCTTGCGACTTGACTTGCGCGGCGGTCCCTTTGAGCCACGCGGTGGCCCGATAATGTGCCGAGGGGCCCACGCAGGGGGGCCCGACGATGCACCGCCACATGATCGAAGCGCGTGCCCTGTGTCGCGGTGTGTCGAGATGCGTCTGGGACATCAGGTTCGGACCCCATTCGAAAACGGCCGTGGCCCCGAGAGGGGCCTATAAGTTGCCCGAGATGACGCCCAGCGCATAACGCGCGCGCTCGACGCATATTCCTTGGGAGAGCGTGGTGGCGGTTGTGCCCACCCCTTATCCACCACGCACCTCCGCCTTCTAATCCCCGCCCCACCCCGCAGCCCCTTTTAGCTCAGCGTTGTCTCAGGCTTGCCAGTTCCAGACTTTGCGCCCTTCGCACCAGGCGCCTTGGCCAGCCGCCCAATGCCCGTGAGCGATAACCTGATTGCCACCTTGAGGTCGTGGGTGTCCCTCGTCGCGTCGCAGACGGCGGCTGGGATCGACCGAGACAGCCTGCTGGTCGCCCAGTCGGATGCGTTCCTGGTCGACTTGAGGAACGCGGGGCCGCTCACCATCGATGACATCTCTGCGGTTTCCACGGAGCTCAGCTCGGGGCCGTGGACACAGGAGCAGATGGCCAGACTCGCCACCGCAGTCGGCAACAGCGGTGGCCAACCGAAGCAGAAAGCTGCCAGGGAGAACCAGACCATGAACTACGTGGAGAGCTGCTTGACAGACCACGACTGGACTTGCGTTCAGGACGCGGGCCTGTCGGTCGAGGCCAAGCTCCAGGTCTTGGCGGAGCGCCTATGGCGTCTGGGCGTGACGTGCCCTTCGATTCCTTTGGTCAAGCGCGTGGTTGCCATTGTGACGTTGTGCGGGCTCCCTGCCGAGAGCGACGGCGCTACCCCCGATACAAAGAAGAAGTGGTGCACCACGCTGAAGGGCTACATCAAGGGCCTCGACAAACAGCAGACTTGGCCAGGTCAGCATATCAAAAGGTACGTTGACGCCCCATCGGATTTGCCCACTGCTGTCTACGACTACGCCTACTCAGACGGCGCACCTTCTACCGCATTGCCAGCGTCAGTGACGACGGCGGCCCTCGACGCGGAGGTCACGGCGTTCGGTTGCAAGAGGAGCCACAACACCCTGCAGCCGAGGCATACCACTTCGGCTAGCCCGTGCTCGGCCCTGGTGCCAGCGGGCGCTCCTCCGAGGGCTGGCGGCGGCGGCGGCGGCTTCATGGGCATGGAAGGGATGGGCGCCATGCAGGGCATGCAGTTCATCATGCGGATGGCCCCCTTAGTCCAGCAGTTGATGGGCGGCTCATCGAGCGAGGGCGGGTCTGCCCAAGGGGGGGGCTGCCCGATCAGCTACGCGAGGCCGACGCCGAAGCGCTCGCCAGCATCCAGCCTTGCCCGTTCGGGCGTCGGGACGCTGAGTGCATCGGCGGTTCCGATGGCGGGCGGCCCCAACCCCGAGCAGGACCTCAGCGGCTTCGACTCGCAGTTGTCTGGTGCGAGCGCCGCGTCGCCGCCTCAGACGGCTGGCGGTGCAGGCGGGGCGGTGGTTCCTGCTCCACTCGGCGGCGCACATGGTGCAGGCGATGCCGCGGCTCCTCTTGCAGGCGACGGCGCGCCTGATGCAGGCACGGCCTTGGTGCCTGCCGAGGTGGGCGGCGCACCTGGTGCAGGCGGGGCCGTGGTTCCTGCCGCGGTCGGCGACGCGCATCATGGTGGACCTCGGGCGCCTGGTCTGGCGCCGTTGCCTGCTCACGACCCCGCGGCGGAGTTGGAGGAGAAGCTCAACAGGTCAGCGGAGGCGGCTGGTAGCAACTACAGGTGCAAGAAGAGGCCCGCGGCAGCGGGCACCGCCGAGGAGGTCGAGTTCGACGAGGGCAAGCCCGAGGAGAGCGCGCCCGCGCAGACGGCCTCGTCCAAGGGCAAGGCCAAGGCCAAGGCCAAGCCGAAGGGCAAGGCCAAGGCTAAAGCCGCCGCGGCCAAGGAGGCTGCACGTGCTCCCATGGCTAAGGCAGCGAAAGGCTCGGGGGCAATGGCGAAAGGCACGGGGGGTGCGGCAATGGCAATGATGAGGGTGAGGGTACTGACGAGGAGGATGACGAGGATGAGGGTGATGAGGAGTATCAGGAGCAAGAGTAGGTAGGGGTGCGGGGAGGGGGATAATGGCGACAAGGGAAATGCGGAGGAGGATAGGAGGGATGTGGGGACTAAGAGGCGAAGGCGAGGGAGGGTGCTAAGAAGGAGGGCGACGCGTGGCACTGCCAGCGCGCAGCGGGGGGTTGAACGACGGGGTAGCTACGAGGTGTCGGAAGTTCCCAGTGGGCGCCCATGGGGTAGCCATAGGGTAGCGCTGCCCCTCCCCCCTGGGTGCCTTCGAAGCTCCACGGAGCTTTCTTCACATCCCACGTCCATCCCCTTTCTCCTTCTCACCGTTGTCGTCGTCGTCGCCTTCCTCCCCCGTCTCCATTCCCTCTTGACCTCCCTCACGCCCCCCTCCCTGCCCCTGCCACCCTCCCTCCCCTCCTCGTTCGTCCTCGTCCCCTTCCCCCCTGCCCCAGACCCGCATGTCCCCCAAGGCACCATGATCAGGAACGGGATCTTCATCAACATTGCCGACGTCATCACGAAGGCTTCGATTGAGGGCAGGGACCGCAACACGTTCGCATCGAGGGCTTACAGTCGCGCACAGACCCAGGCCCGCGCGGGTGGGCTGCCCGCAGCGGCTGTGCGCGAGGTCGCTCAGTGGGGATTCCGCGTGGCGAGTGAGGCCTGGGACGGTAGCTGAGCTGTTTAGTGCTCACCCTGCGCATTTCTGATAGCACGCTGCGAGGAGAGTATTGTAAGCCATTTGGGGACTCGCTTCTATATTACTCCCCACCTCGCGTGCCTCTCTGCGCAGCCCGCTACAGGATCGCGGCTTGCCCTGCCCCCACATCGCCTGCGAGGGAGGCGGGGGCCTAGGTTGGTTCGGGTGGGGGAGGGCTAAGGAGGAGGGTGGGGAGGTGTACGGATGATGAGGAGGAGGGAGGGGAGGCGGGCGAGGAGGCGGAGCACGTGGGAGGGGCAGGAGGAGGAGGAGGAGGAGGGCGAGGGGAAGGCAGCTGCGGATGCAAGCACCCATGTTGCGTTGGCCTTTTGGTGAGAAATGGTTGTCTCCGCACCCTCGCTGCCCCTGTCCTGCCTCGTTTGGGCTGGGGAGCTTTCGGCGCCCTGCGTTGCGTCACAACAATGGCGGGTGGCAGCAGCCGCGCGCCACGGCAGTCGCATCGTCGCACGCGCCCAAGCAGCAGGGCGCATCAGTGAAGAAGCCAGCTACACCAGCGATCCAAGCAAGAGCAGCATCAGAGATCGGATCAAGAGTGATTCAGCATCAAACATAGCAGCATCAACGATCGTGGCAAGAACTAAGAGTCACACCAACGCTCCAGCAAGAGCGATTCAGCATCAACCAGAGCAGCAACTTAAACTAAGCGAGCAAGCAAGCAAACGGCCCCATAGCTAGCAACGGTATATTGCACACTGCTGACGCGGGGCGCAACAACCCTGCGCCGACAGTTCAAATCATAAACATCAGCGGCAACACCGTAGCCATTTTTGGCTCAAGCGTTTCTGGCTTTACCAGCTCTCAGAAGCTATGCCTTCTGTTCCGAAGAGAATGCGCACTGTCGTGTACGGCAGGTCGTCCCACGCGACGGCCGCCGCGACGGCCGCCTTGATGGCCGACATCCAGAGGGAGGGCCTCCCCGAGGCGTTCAGCGCGTCGACCTTGGCCAGGCACCGCGAGGCCAGAGTCATGGAGGACACGAGTTTCGGCCCCGTTCTCGTGGAGAAGCGGCTCGGGTCATCGGACGTGCGCGCGTGGTTCCAGCATCCATTCGCGTGGCTCGAGGCGGCCTGCAGGACATCACCCTCGTACCAGGAGATGTTCCTCGAGTTGGCGGCCAAGCATCATGGGACGATGAACGTGTATATCTATAGCGACGAGATCGTCCCTGGCAACGTCTTGGACGGCAAGAACCGTCGCAAGACGCAAGCATTCTATTGGAGCTTTGCCGAGCTCGGTTTTCCGGCCCTCAGCAACGAGCTCTGCTGGAACACCATTGCCGCGATGCGTAGCAGCATCTTGGACGATGTGGTAGGTGGCGTGTCCACGGTGATGAAGGAGTGCCTGAAGCTTTTCTTCGGCCTGCCTGCAGGGCCCGATCTCCGACGTGGAGTTGCTCTGCGCATCGGCGGCCAGGTCCGACGCCCCCCCATGCTACTCACCCCGCCCCCAACTTCGCCGAACCACCCCTCCCTCCATGGAGGGGTGCGTGATTTTTTCCCCCGTGCGGGGAGGGTGGCGACGACGACGAGAGGGCGGAGGGTCGGCAAGGGGAGGGGGATAAGGAGGAGGAGGAGGAGGAGGATGGGAAAGAGGACGGTGGCAGCCCCGCCCCTAGGTCGCGATGCTGCAGGGCAAGCTGCAGATCATGATCCAGGACGAGCGGGCCCGCAAGTTCGTGCTGCAGGTGAAGGGCGCCACGGGCATCAAGCCCTGCATGCTGCGCAAGAACGTCGTGTGCCCCAGAAGCGATCTTCCCCCTGACCCGACTGGGTGGTTGATCCCAGCGCACTGCACCGACGTCAGCCTCTTCGATCTCTACACGACCGAGGAGATCATGGCGGTTCAGCGGCGCCTCAGTGATGCAGCCGATGCTGGACGGTGGGCCGAGGTCAAGCGGCTCGAGGTCTTGTTCGGGTGGTCCTACCAGCGCGACGGCCTCCTCCAGGACAGGCATCTGGCGGTGCCAGTTGCGGAGGCCACCTCTTGGGACTGGATGCACTGCTATATGATAGGTGGGCTATTCGAGAGGGAGGTGGACGAGATGCTGGGTAGGTTGTCGAGCATTCGTAGAGGACACGACTGCCTGCGCGATTATCTTCAGGCTTGGTGCTGGCCGAGGGGCTATGCGCATGCAAAGAATACCATGAGTGGTGGAACAATGCAGGGCTCCGCAAGTGAATATGTTTCGCTCGCGCCCGTTCTTCAGCGGTATCTCAGCGATGTGGTTTCGAACGCCGATGGCGCAGATGAGCTTAAGGGCGAGATTATTAGTGCATTTTGTTCGTGCGATGTGATTAACTTGTTGATCATGGCCAATTGTGGCCACGTGCAGCCTTTCATGCTAGCCCAGGCGATTTCATCCCACATGGAGCGCCACAGAGCGGTCTACGGGGTCCAGCTTTTTAAGCCGAAGGACCATTGGATTTTCCATTTGCCATCTCAATTGGAGCGGCACAGATGCCTCCTCTCAACTTTCCTCATGGAGAGGAAGCATCGCGTTATAAAGCGCTTTGCTGGCGGGCGGCACAATACGAAAGGGTATGAAAAAGGCATAATGCAGGAGGTGACGCTGCAGCACCTCCACGACGTGGAGCATCATGCACTTTTCGGCGTGGACCTCTTGGGCCCTAAGCCCGCCAGCCGCCAGCTCATTTCGTCCATCAGTAAAGTTTTGCCTCTGCCCATCGGCAGCGAGAAGGATGTTGTCAGTTCGTCATCCTGCTTTGTGCGCGGTAGAGCAGTCTGCATTGGGGATTGCGTTGCGTGCAGTAACGCTTCGCATCAGGTTGCGTTCGGGGAGGTCCTCTTTCATGCGAAAGTGGGCGGCAAATTACTTTCGTGCATATCGGAGTGGGATGTCCAGGAGATGGGCACCAGTGCGGCAAAGTGTATAGTTTGGAGTGCTCCAGGTCTGTACCAGACCCATAACATCATAGAACCGTGTGTGTTTTTTTCCTGCTGCTGCAGGTTCTGTTGCAACGGTGCTTTACCCCCATAAGGTAAAGATGGGTGGTGCCGTGTATTTATGGAGGGAGGCGGATGGTGAGGAGGGGGAGGGGATGAGGACAGGGGGGGAGAGCAGGAGCAAAGTGACTATGGATTGGGATGATGATGGCGATAACGGGAATGAGAGGGAGGAGGAGGAGGAGGAGGAGGAGGAGGAGGAGGAGGAGCAGGAGGAGGAGGAGGACACACGCGAGGAGACACGCATGACGTTTGAGTTGTACCTGCACGCGCGCTCGCGGCGCTGCTCGCGTGGAAACGTCCCTTCATCATCATCATCCTCATCATCATCATCCCGTCCTCCTCCTCGTCAGCCGACCCCCAGAAGGACCGAGAGCTTGCGACGATCGTGGAAGTTCGCCATCTGATCAGCCACCGTGCCTTGGTTGTGGGTCCGGGGTCGCCCCTCTCGAGCGCTGCGGCTATAACCATCGGGACATCCATTCGGACAACCATCGGGACAACCATCGGGACAACCATCGGGACAACCATCGGGACAACCATCGGGACAACCATCGGGACAACCATCGGGGTCACTCTCACTGCTGTTAGGGTGTTTGCGGCCCCTCTGAGTCCGCAGCCATCCTTGGCCCCCAGCTTTAACGCAGCAGACCTGGACTCCCCCAGCCCCGAGAGATCCCCAGCCCGAGATGGCCACGCAGGGCGAGCCCTTCACCCCGCCCGACGACGAGGCCAATCGCTCCGAGGCGGGCGGCCATACTCTTGGGGGCCTCTTTGGCCGTCTTAGGGCGTTCCTGGCCCGTCTGACGCCGTCGGAAGCCGTCTTGGGGGCCTCCCTGAACCGACTTGGGGCCCTCTTGGGGCGCCTCAGGGCCATCTTGGAGGCCATCTTGGGCGTCTTGGAAGCCTCTTGGGCCGTCTTGGGGCCCTCTTGGGGCGACCTTGGGGGCCTTTTGGGCCGTCTTCGGCCGACGGAAGGCCGAAAAGGCGTAAATGCCAAAACCCTTCAACAACCTAAGGGGAATCGGTGATTTTGGCATCTTCGGGCCTTCCTGGAGGACCTCTTGGAGGCCTCTTGGGCCGTATTGGAGGCCTCTTGGGGCGACGACGACGACGACGACGACGACGACGGCGACGGCGGCGGCGAGGGTGGCGGCGGCGGCGACGGCGGCGGCGGCGACGACGACGACGACGACGAACTGGCCGAACCGAATCACGACGACGACGACGACGAGGTGAACAGCTAGACCACGACGACGACGACGACTCGGAGGTTTTTTGCAGGACAGCTCATGAATGAGCTTGCGAGCGAAGACCGCTCCCGTGCGCCGAGTCGGGCATCGTGCGA